GAGCAGGAAAGGCTGCGTTAGCTCCGAGGTAGGATTTGACCTGCCTGGGGTCCCTGCTCAGGGCTTTGCCAGACCAGGCCGGGGACCCTCCTGCTCTCCCCAGCTTCTTGCAGCTCCTGCTGGCACGGGACTGGGCCGGGATGAAATAAAGAGCCTGGCTCTGGAGGAGCTGTGCCGGGTGATGCCAGGCCAACCCCCAGCCATGCGTGACCCCGCTTTAGCTCCGAGGTAGGATTTGACCTGCCTGGGGTCCCTGCTCAGGGCTTTGCCAGACCAGGCCGGGGACCCTCCTGCTCTCCCCAGCTTCTTGCAGCTCCTGCTGGCACGGGACTGGGCCGGGATGAAATAAAGAGCCTGGCTCTGGAGGAGCTGTGCCGGGTGATGCCAGGCCAACCCCCAGCCATGCGTGACCCCGCTCTCTCCTCTGCTCCTGTTACGCTGGCCCGGCAGAGGGTTGGGCGCATCGCGAGAGCCAGGCGGTTTGCTGTGGTCGGGGACGTTTTGGAGGCGAATCGTGCCAAGATCTAGGAGATTTAATAATTCCTCCTGCAGCAAGAGCTCGGCTTGAGCTTAGGCGGGGGTTTGCGAGCTGGTAGGTCCAAGCCTGGCTGATCTTTGAGGGTTGATAGGAGACAGCAGCTCTGCTCCTGCCTCCCTTTGCCGCCGTGCTTCCCTGGCACCCAAAAATATCGGCATGGGAACAATGCCCCTCGGTCAAGGCTCGGCATCGTTTGTGGTTGTGGCAATGATGGCGGGATCTCATTGTCTTGGAGCTGCCCTGATTAGTGAAAAACCTTCTTGGCAAATTCTTTTCCTCCAGTTCATCTCATGTCGGTTTGGGAACCGCCGTAGGAGCGTGCTGCCGTCCCGCTCCACCCCGTTTCCAAAAAGCAGCCGTATAGAAGCGGAGCCCTCTTTCTTCCGGAGCTGGAGTTATCCCGGCTGCTGGCACCAGCTTTCCCTCCAATGAATCCTTATTAAAGGATTTAAAGCATGCTTGTTCCGATTACAAAGCTGCCCATGTCCTGCATTGTTATTTTTGCATCGCTACCTCTCTGGGTCAGGGGCGGGTAATTTGTGGAGCTGCTGCCTGGGCTATTTTTGGGGTCCCTCTCTGAACCCTGTTCTGGTGCTCAGCGCCTCTTCCCGACATTCTCCTTTTCTCTGTGCATGCCCAACGTGAAGCTTTGAGCAGGGAGTGACCTTGCAGGGAGCTCCCGGTCTCCCTGCCAAGCTCGGGGTGCTGCTTTCCCTCCTCGTGTGGGGACCGTCCTGGCAAAAGGGGTCCCAGGGTGGTGTCGGGGGGGGGTCTGTCGCACTCCTCCGGTGATG